TTTTTTTTTTTCGGGAACGATAGAGTGAAAAGGTTTACTGTCTCATAAAAAGCAAATTGGGCAAATCCATTATTCATAGCAAACCAGAATATGAATGTATGAATGTTATTTAGTTTTTGATTTAAAACCTGAAATTGGAGCTCTTCCCCAACTATGGAAGTATTTACCCTCAAATTGGATCTGGATTTGTAACTCAAAAATTTGAAAAAAGAAAAGAAAAAGAAAATGTGACCAATAAAAATAGTAAAATCAAATAATGGTAATCCTTAATCAGTTCCCAAATCTTGGCTCCTAGGTACAAAAAAAAATATATATGATATGGGTATAGAAAAAGTCATTTGTAATAATCATATAAGAAACATAAAAAGGAAAAGCAAAACACCAAATTTGTCATCATTGCCAACATATACACACTCTAATTTTTTTCACATAAACTACAAACTCTCTCCTAGGGCTGACATTTTTTTACCGAAAATCAAAAATTGAACCAAACCAAATCAAACCGACGAGAAAAAAATGAACCGTCCCGATTCATTTATAACGGTAATCGATTATTTGTTACCGACTTGTTATTGGTTCGGTATCGGTTCCCAAGCCATAAAAAACCGAAATTTGTTTGTTTGAGGAATTAGCTTATTAGAATATTTGATGAAATGTCAGTTTATATATACGCATGACTCAAGTAGAACATACGGGTAATATAATATCAACTACAATCAAGTTCTCAAAATTAACTCAACAAAGCATGCATTCATTTTTAAGGCACATTCAACGACCGCAATGACATGTATAATATCAACCAATCCTACTTATAAACGCCTAACCTTAATCAAAAACCTCACAATATCAACAAATACAACTTACAACCATCTAACATTACCCAATCCTCTACATCCAAACTTTCAAACCACCACAACACTAATTACCTAAATAGAAACAAAAATTAAAATAAAAAATTACATCACTTATTCTATCATACCAGTCTGGGAGACCTTGTCTTCCCCTTCTTAACAGAAAGTCCCTTTATTTCAACTTTAAAGCTGTCTATTTGATTTTCCAGCTTGCTTACCTACTCAACATGAACATAACAACTCCATAACTATTGATAGCATATTTAAGAAGTAGCAAGGAGAGGCTACATCACAATTTACATGACAATTACTGTGATAACATTCGATTAAATCATCTTAAATGATGTAAAAGTCAGTGTGGTTTAAAGTTGCTCTTGAGATAGAAATCTAGAGAAATAAACCAGAATACAAAATGAAAAAAAACAAATGAGACTTATTTAATTTAGTTACTTCAGCTTCACTTCCCGAATAATCAAATTACAGATATCGGAATTCAAATACTCAACCCAAGTGAAAGAGTGGAGGGGCAAACCACGTTATTTAACCAATCTCTTGTCTCTGATTTAGCCACTCCTTTCCATCCTACATCAGATGAAACATAAAAGAAATGCTGAAATCAAAAAATTTATGTTAAATGCAAGAACATGGCCATACATACAAAAGCACCCTCTTTCGATACATTAAAAAACAGGGAATGCATTCTTTTGCTAACTCCATGCAGTGAACCACATATATAATCCACAAGTTCAATACACTCGTTGACAACATTTCTAGAACAAGTTACTAATTCCTAAAGAGCAATTATATGATTTGCTTACCCGGATCAAGGTTACCGTATATAAGCTCGATAAGACCTTTTAGTGCCCTGATGCAGGCCTCCAGAACTTCAAAGCAATTATATGATTTGCTTACCCGGTCTAAAGTTTGCAGAGCCAAATTCGCAACTGCCGATGCATCCTCTTCCTGAACAAGATGAAGTGAACCAACATCATCAGGGCATTACATTTTGAGAGCAATGTTATTTCACTTTTAATCTTTCAAGAGAGAAATAAAGTTAAACCCGAAAA